GCTGAGAGGTGAACCCCGGAACGGGAAACTGCTACTGATCATTCAATTCTCACTTTATTGGATGGACTCAAATCACCAAAGGGTGAAATGATATTGGAAGAAGACCAAAAAAGACATTTTTTTTTACCTCGGCGTCGTTTTAAAAAAGACAAAAAACTTTCACCAGCAAAACGACATTTCAATTTTTCTGATGCTAGAAAACGACGTCATTTCGACAAAACTGAAAAAATACTTTCAAGAGCAAAATGATACGTCATTTTTCTGCTAATGAGAAAAACGACATCGTTTTGACAAAATGACAAAAAAATTCTATTTTTTATGATTTTCTCTATTTTTCATCTTTGAAAAATAAAATAAAATGAAAACGACATCAAAACATTCTAAAATTTTGCAGACAAGATCTTTACATTTTCCTGAGCATGCCTACAAAAAATGGTGTCAAATTATGAAAAAAGAAAATGCTGCCAAAAAGCCCCCGGCCCGCGCAATGGGTCACCCAGTGGTCGGGATGGGTCAAAACTTGATATTTTTTTATGTTTTAGATTCTAAAAGTAATACATGATTTTTAGGAATTAATGCAACAAGAAGCACCATTTTTTTTTATGAATATTCTATTTTTTATGATTTACTATATTTCTCGTATTTGAAAAATAGTATAAAATAAAAACGATGTCAAAAAATTCAAAAATGTTGCATACACGATCCTTTCATTTTTTTGAGCATGCTCGCAAAAAATGGCCTCGAATTATGAAAAAAAAATGCTGCCAAAAAGCACCTTGCCCGCGCAGTGGGGCGCCCAGGGGCGAGGATGAGTCAAAAATTAACATTTTTATTTACGTTTCACATTCTAAAATTAATATTTGATTTTTAGGAATTAATGCAACAAGCGGCACTATTTTTTTAGTGAATATTCTATTTTTTATGATTTTCTTTATTTTTCGTCTTTGAAAAATAAAATAAACTAAAAACGACGTCAAAAAATTATGAAATTTTGCAGACATGATTCTTACATTTTTCTGGGCATGCCTGTAGAAAAAAGGCCGTAAAAATGAAAAAAAAAAATGTATAAAAGCCCCCCGCTTGCGTAGTAGGGCGCCTAGAGGCGGGATGGGTAAAAAATTTACATTTTTATTTATGTTTTACATTAAAAAATTAATACATAACTTTTAGAAATTAATGCAATTTGCGGCACCACTATTTAATTAATATTCTATTTTTATGATTTTTTCTATTTTTTGCCTTTAAAAAAATAAATAAAAATGACGTCAAAAAATTTTGATATTTTATAGACATGATCCTTACATTTTTCTGGGCATGCCGACAAAAAATGGCATCAAAAAATGACAAAAAAAATACGCTATCAAAAAGCCCATAGCCTGTGTAGTGGGCCGCCTAGGGGCCGGGATGGGTGAAAATTTTACATTTTTATTTATGTTTTACATTCTAAAATTAATATAATATTTTTAGGAATTAATGCAACAAGCGGCACCATTTTTTTATGAATATTCTATTTGTTATGATTTTCTCTATTTTTCATGTTTACAAAAAAAAATAATAATAAAAATGACGTCAAAAAATTCTAAAATTTTGTAAACATGATACTTATATATTTCTGGGCATGCCTACAAAAAATGACCTCAAACAATGACAAAAAAAAAAAGAGAAACGCAGTCAAAAAGCCCCTAGCCCGCGCAATGGCGCGCCCATGGGTTGGAATGGGTCAACAATTTTCATTTTTATTTATGTTTTACATTCAAAAATTAATATACGGTTTTTTATGAATTAATGCAACATGCGGCACTATTTTTTTATGAATATTATATTTTTTAGATTTTCTTTATTTTTTGTATTTGAATAATAAAATAAAATAAAAACGACGTCAAAAAATTATGAAATTTTGCAGACACGGTCCCTACATTTTTCTGTGCATGCTCGCAAAAAATGGAATCAAAAAATGACAAAAAAGTAAAACACAGTCAAAAAGTCCACGGCCCGCATAGTGGGGCGCCAAGTGGCCGGGATGGGTGAAAATTTTACATATTTATTTATTTTTACATTCTAAAATTAATATACGATTTTTAGGATTTAGTGAAACAAGCGCCACCATTTTTTATGAATATTCTATTTTTTATGATTTTCTTTATTTTTAGTCTTTGAAAAATAAAATAAAATAAAATAAAAACGACGTCAAAAAATTATGAAATTTTCCAGACACGATCCTTAAAATTTCCAGGCATGCCTCCAAAAAAAGGCCTCAGAAATGGAAAAAAAAAAAGAAAAACGGTGTATAAAAGTCCCCGGCCCGCGTAGAAAAATTTATATTTTTATTTATATTTTACATTCTAAAAATAAGATACAATTTTTAGGAATTAACGCCAAAAGCGGCACTATTTTTTGATGAATATTCTAGTTTTTATGATTTTCTTTATTTTTCATCTTTGAAAAATATAATAAAATAAAAATGATGTCAAAAAATTATGAAATTTTGCACACACGACCATAAATTTTTCTGGGATGCCAACAAAAAAAGGCCTAAAAAATGAAAAAAAAAAACGCTATACAAAAGCCCCCGACCCACGTAGTGGGGCACCTAGGGGCCGGGATGCGTCAAAAATTTATATTTTTATTTATGTTTTGCATTCTAAAATTAATATACGATTTTTATGAATTAATGCAAGAAGGGGCACCATTTTTCGACGAATATTCTATTTTTTTTTTATGATTTTCTTTATTTTCGTATTTGAACAATAAAATAAAATAAAAATGACGTCAAAAAATTATAAAATTTTGCAGACACGATCGTTACATTTTTATGGGCATGCCAACAAAAAATAGCGTCAAAAAATCACAAAACAAAGTAAAACGCAGTCAAAAAGCCCATGGCCGACGTAGTGGGGCGCCGAGGGGCCGGGATGGGTCAAATATTTACATTTTTATTTATGTTTTACATTCTAAAATCAATATACGATTTTTAAGAATTAATGCAACAAGCACCACCATTTTTTGATGAATATTCTATTTTTTTTATAATTTTCTTTATTTTTCGTATTTAAAAAATAAAATAAAATAAAAACAACGTCAAAAAATTATGAAATTTGGCATACTCGATCCTTAAATTTTTCTGGGCATGCCGGCAAAAAAGGCCTCAAAAATGAAAAAAAAAAAAAAACGATGTATAAAAGCCCTTACCCTGTGTAGTGGGGCGCCTAGAGGCTGGAATGGGTAAAAAATTTACATTTTTATTTATCTTTTACATTTTAAAATTAATACATGATTTTTAGGAATTAATGCAACAAGCGGAACCACTATTTGATAAATATTCTATTTTTTTATGATTTTCTCTACTTTTCATGTCTAAACAATAAAATAACATAAAAATGACGTCCAAAAATTCTGAAATTTTGACGTCCAAAAGCCCCCACCCCGCATAGTGGGGTGCCCAAGTGCCGGGATGAGTAAAAAATTTACATTTTTATTTATGTTTTGCATTCTAAAATTAATATACGATATTTATGAATTAATGCAACAAGGGGCACCATTTTTTTATGAATATTCCATTTTTTATGATTTTCTTTTTTTTCATCTTTGAAAAATAAAATAAAATAAAAACAACGTAAAAAAATTATGAAATTTTACGGACACGATCCTCACATTTTTCTGGGCATGCTTACAAAAAATGGCATCAAAAAATGATAAAAAAAAGAAAAACAATGTCAAAAAGCCCCCGCCTCGCGTAGTGGGGCGCCCAGGGGCCGGGATGGGTCAAAAATTTATAATTTTATTTATGTTTTGCATTGTAACATTAATATATAATTTTTATGAATTAATGCAATACGCGGCACCATTTTTTAATGAATATTCTATTTTTTATGATTTTCTTTATTTTTCATATTTAAAAAATAAAATAAAGTAAAAACGATGACAAAAAATTGTGAAACTTTGCATACACAATCGTCACATTTTTCTGGGTATGCGTACAAAAGAGGGCCTAAAAAAATGTCAAAAAAGTAAAACGCTATCAAAAAGCACCTGCCCCGCGAAGTGGGGCGCCCAAGGGCTGAGATGGGTAAAAAATTTATATTTTTATTTATGTTTTGAATTCTAAAATTAATATACGATTTTTAGGAATTAATGCAACAAGCGGCACTAGATTTTGATGAATATTCTATTTTTTATGATTTTCTTTATTTTTTGTCTTTGAAAAATAAAATAAAAGAAAAATGACGTCAAAAAATGTGAAATTTTGCAGACATGATCCTTATATTTTTCTGGGCATGCCTACAAAAAATCGCCTCAAAAAATGACAAAGAAATAAAACGCTATAAAAAAGCTCCCGGTCTGCGCAGTGGGGCGCCCAGGGGCCGGGATAAGTAAAAAATTTACATTTTTATATATGTTTTGCATTCTAAAATTAATATATGATTTTTAAAAATTAATGCGACAAGCGGCACCATTGTTTGATGAATATTATATTTTTTATGATTTTCTTTATTTCTCGTATTTGAAAAATATAATAAAATAAAAACAACTTCAAAATATTATGAAAGTTTACAGACACGATCCTTACATTTTTGGACATGCCTGCCAAAAAATGACAAAAAAAAAATTAAGAATCAAGATCTTCCCTTCGTAGTGAAGAGCTAGTCTTGATATGGGTACTCTCATTGTGAGAGAGAAGGCGAATACGAGGAGAATTGAGTATTAATTTCTTTTTTATTATTATTTTTTGTTTGTGTTAGCTTATTCGGTATAATTTGGGTTTTGATAATTAATCTTTTAATAACTAAGATTTTTTGCCTAAATAAATATTTTATTCTTCAAGAAGTGTCATATTAACTTCAAACAGATGGAATTCGACGTGCCATTAAATTGTTAAAAATAAAGTTTAGAGTTAAAAGTACTAAATTAAAATAGCTTAAAGTTTAAATTACCAAAAAATAAAATTTAGGATTAAAATTGTCAATTTGAAAGAGTTCAGGAGTATAGTGCAACAACCGGAGAATAAACTAGCAAAACCATTGCACAAGGGTTTTTCTTACTGCTTTAGGGGTTTAAGCTCATTGTGAACTCAGAAATGGCTTCACTAATGGCGATTCGGCGAGCGCGATGCCAGAAAATCTCTTCCTTCTTCAAGGTACGTCCTCTTCACCCTTCTCATTTTGCCTCCATTAATGCCAATAACCACAACCTCCAAACCCTAGTCAAAACCCTAAGCACCTCTGCGTTTACCGACGAGTACCAGAGCCCTCCTACGCCGTCCGATCCTAGGGCTGTTCCCCACCATGGAAAGCCCCAACGTCAGGGATATCCCCAGACTGGAAACCCAAACCCTAACCAGTGGAATTCGCAGAATCAGATTTCCAATAATCAGTTCAGTTACCAGAACCAGAATCAGGACTATTCCAATCGGGGGTATTATCCCAATCAGGGTCAGAACTTCCCCAATCGTGGATATCCTAATCCTGTCCAGAATCAAAGCTATCCTCAGCATGGAAACGCTCAACGGAATCCCCAAAATCAGAGCTTTCCCCAATATCAAAACCCTAATCAGACGAATATTCAGAACCCGAATTTTCAGCAACCGAGAAGCCCGAATCAGTGGAACAACCAGAACCAGGCTTACCCTCAACGCGCGAACCCCAACCAGCGGAATCAGCAAGTACAAAGCCCTAATCAGCGGACGCCGCAAGCTCAAAGCGCAAATCAGATTACGGACGTTAAACTGACTTCGATTTCGGATTTGAGAACGTTGTGCCGGGAGGGGAAGGTTAAGGAAGCTATTGAATTGATGGATAAAGAAGGGGTGAAGGCTGATGCGGATTGCTTTTGTGCTTTGTTTGAGCTGTGTGGGAAATTGAAGTCGCTGGAGAATGCGAAAAGGGTTCATGATTTCTTCTTGCAGTCGACCTGGAGGGGCGATCTTCAGCTGATCAATAAGGTGATTGAGATGCATGGAAAGTGCGCGAGCATGACCGATGCACGGAGGGTGTTCGATCATATGGCTGACAGGAGTATTGATTCTTGGAACTTGATGATAAATGGGTATGCAGATAACGGTTTAGGAGATGATGGCTTGCAGCTGTTCGAGCAGATGAGGGAGCAAGGGTTGAAACCCGATTCACGCACTTTCCTTGCACTGTTCTCGGCTTGTGGTAGTGCGGACGCTGTGGAAGAAGCATTCATACATTTTGACTCGATGAAAACTGAGTATGGAATTTCCCCAGAATTGGAGCATTACTTGGGGATACTGGGAGTCTTTGGGATGTGCGGGCATCTGAATGAAGCAGAGGAGTACATTGCAAAACTCCCTTTTGAGCCCACGGCAGTGGTTTGGGATGCTTTGAGGGATTATGCTCGGATTCACGGGGATGTTGATCGTGAAGACCGAGCTGAGGAGTTAATGGTTTCCCTTGACCCGTCCAAGGCTGTTAGTAACAAGATCCCAACTCCACCTCCCAAAAAGCGTACTGCCATTAGCATGCTAGATGGAAAGAACAGAATAATCGAGTATATAAATCCAACTCTCTACAAGGATGATGAGAAATTAAAAGCCCTGGCTGCGATGAAAGACTCTGGTTATGTGCCCGACACGAGATATGTTCTGCATGACATTGATCAGGAAGCTAAGGAGCAGGCCTTGCTGTATCATAGCGAGCGGCTGGCAATTGCATATGGCCTCATTAGTACTCCGGCAAGGACGCCTCTTAGGATCATCAAGAACCTTCGAGTTTGTGGAGACTGCCACAATGCCATCAAGATCATGTCCAAGATTGTTGGGAGAGAGTTGATTGTGAGAGATAACAAACGATTTCATCACTTCAAGGATGGAAAATGCTCTTGTGGGGATTACTGGTAACCTTGTGCTGTACTCAGAACTTTTATTATACACAGCAGACCAGAGTTTCTTCCATATTAGCATTTAGGGTATGAAGCGCAAAAATTGACTAGTTTTGTGGGACCCTTTGGGGATGAGCACCATAGTTTCTAGCGTACGGGGTGGCATATTTGAAACTATATAATGTACGATCTTGTTATTATGAATTTAATCAATTATTTGTTAGAATGTCAAATACCCTTGCCTTACTTTTCTCACATTTTTTTTTTGAACTCTTCTTTTTCTTTGAGGTGTTCAAATATTATCATTTTTCTTCGGCATGTTCCTCTCCTGCATTTGGTAATCTGCCTGCACCACTTAGCAACTAGATAAAAGAAGAAGCACATAAAACGCGTGATGTACAATGGCTGAAATCTGATTGGTTTAAGTAGCTTGTCAAGTTTTGAGGATTACAACTTTATGTGTTTTGTCAAAAGCTTTGCACCGTTAAGTCCCTGTCTCTCCTTGAATCATAAATCAATGAATGAATTAAAGTCCCTATTGTCGCTAGTATCGAAGATTTATATAGCTTATGGCATGTTTACTTATTCGTATCGGAGTGAACATGAATCAGAGTAGATAGAATTCGAAGTGGACAGAAATTCGAGTTAGAAATCAGAGTCAGAATAAACTGTTTACTAAGGTTTCAAGAATCAGAGTTGGAATCCGTCTTAATCTCATTCATGTGTTTACTTACACTTAGAATCAGAATAAACTGTTATAAATTTACTTATCTACCCTTTTAGTAGATTTTTGTGTGTTGAACTTTAGAAAAAAAAAGAAATTGTATATTATGTTAACTATCTTAATATTAGAATAACTAATTAGTAATTAGATTTTTTTAATCACACATATTTTTTTAATTAGTAATTAGAAATTGTAATGGTCTAGTTCTCCACGAATCCTTAAAATGATGTTGTGCAATCAAGGGGCAAAACATGGTTTGATCACATATTCAACAAATAAACACAAAAAAATAAAAATAAAAATAAAAATAAATAAACTTGTGATTCAATAAAAAAGAACCACAGTGATTTATGTTATTGACTCACCTTGAAGAGAAGAGGGATGCTCTTGGTTGCTGTGAATGCAATGTTGTGTTTTGAGGAGAAGAAAATATCAGAAGAATTGCACAAGAAGATACGAGAGGCGTAAAAGTAAATTAGGGCATTTTCAATTTTTTACTTTTTACTTTTCTATTCACAAATTTGTTAGTAAAATTAAGGATAAAATCGTAATTCACATTTACTATTAGGATTGTGAGTGCTAATCTAGTAGAGAGTGGAGAAGTGTTAATCACATTCATCAACTCTAAATTAGTGTGAGACCCATACATTTCTACTCTTATTTAAAGATAAAAATAAATAAGTAAATATGAGATTGATTCTAATTCTCAATTTTTATTCCCCGCTCCTAGTAACTAAACATGCCATTAGTATTATAGATAGATGTTGTAAAGTAGATTCGATACTAATGATAATGTTGTAAAGTAGATTCAATACTAATGATAGATGTTGTAGAGTAGATCGAATCGAATCTATTATGCATGCCATAGTTAGGAAGTAATATATTTCTTTACGTGTGGCAAAACAGCCATGTTAACTTGCGAATGAAGGATTCTAAAGATGCTGATTTGATGATCTCATCTTGTTAAATAGCCGAGTCGAAGACTTTTAACTGTTTGCTACCATCAGGGAAATATATATATATATATATATATATATATATATTTGCAATTCAATGTTCTACAAATACCACAGGAAATTGAGAGGACAATGTTATATTGTCCTTAAAAAAATAATAAAAATAAAAAATAAAAACGGAGACAGGGAGTCTTTAGTTTTGGTCCCTGAATAAAGTCTCACTTTGGTTTTGGCCCCTAAACTTTAGAATCTAGAGTTTAGTTCCCAATTCATTTTAGTTAAGAGAGAACACCTTTAGGGTGTGTTTAGTTACAGTGACAGAATGATAATAGCAATGATAATGAGAATGGTAATGGAATGAAATTGAAATGTGCTGGAATCGTAAACTGATTCTTTTGTTTGATTGAAATTATGGAATCAATACCTGAATGAGGATTATGTTATTTGATTGACAACAGAATGGAATGAAAAAAACTGTATTTTGACAAAAAGACCCTTGATTAATAATCATAAATAATTTAATATTTTAATTAATTAAAATAGTAAAAAAATAATTTAATTATTGAAAAAAACTTTTTATTTGAAGGATAGTAATTTAAAAACTATATTTCAATTGTAAAAAAAATAATATTTGATATTTTTGTGTAATAATAAATTATCACGGGCTCAAATATGATAACTTTTGACATCTATCATGATATGTTCCCTGAAAAATATAATCCCAAAATATATATGCCAAGTGAAGCACGTTCCTAGTTACTATAATTTAACAAAGTGAAGCATAATCCTAATTAGTTACAATATCAAAAGAGAAGTGCATAGCACATACACCACTATATCAAAAGAGAAATACATGGCACATCCACCACTATATCAAAAGATAATCCGATTATGTTTTTCCACTGAAACTAAACGAACACTCCTAAATATCACTAGCAAGCAAAGCTCTAGCCCACTCATCTTTTTCATCATCAGGGATACTAAAAAAGTAAGAAACTAAAGCATCATCCTTTATCATCGTCCGAGCTACCTTATGTCGTTCCATTGCGTTAATGGTTGTGGTCCTTTGTAGCTCATCTCTAATCCGGCTATGTTTTTCCATCATGTCTTCACTGATAGCCCGACTTAAACGTTCACTTGCCTTTTCAATAACACCAGCAAGTAAACTAGATGATCTTTCAATGCCTTCATAAGCCGCATTGTTTGTACTCTTCCTTTTTCTTTTAGACGACCCTTGAGATTGAGCTTGAGTTTGAGAAATAGACGATGCTTGTGAGAAAGACATTGATTGCGCTTCATCAACATACATAGGTCACGTGATGAACAACATTACATGGCTGCTTAAAACCATTGTGATGCTCGAATTATGTATTGAGAGAGCCATGTGATAGAAGGATAAAAAGTCATTTCGTAAGAGGAAAACAAATTATAAAGGAAAAAGGATATGTAATGAATCTAGGCGATTAGAATTGCATAGGTCTTCTAAGACACATTTGAGCAAAAACTATTCTTGTAATTACCTGTCGGACGAACCTGTTCCAAGGGTTTGACCATGTGGACTATGCACATGTTAAAGTCATACACATAAATCACGTGAATGACGAGAAGCAGTATTTTCAGTAAGTTATCTATCAATCATGCTGATAGAAAAGAAGTCTTGAGCAGAAAACCACAAAAATAAGCTAATCATACCTCTGGCTCTATAGCTGCGTTTGTAGTATCACAAATTATAGACCGAGCTAAGGCGACTCTTTTTTTCATTCCACCAGACAACTCAGAAGGTAATTGATCTTCAACTCCCTGATGTATCATTGAAATTCAGCCAAAAAATAATAATAATAATCCAAAGGATATGCAAGTGCTGACATAACCAAGGGAAGACTACAAAGCAAGTCAAGCGGTAGTCTCTTCTAGTCACTTCTAATCAGGGAAATCTAGTTACTTCTAATAAGGGAAATCTAGTTACATTAACTTTTGTTCTATAAGCTGCAGTAGATAAAATCAGAAAAGGTGTAGTACTCATTTTTCACTCAATTCTTTTCAACTCATTTTGCACTCCGACTACCTTAGGAAAAGGTGTAAAGATAATAAAAACCACACAGGGTAGTACTCATTTGAACCGATCAATCATTCCAGATTTCAATAAGGTAGTTGAAATCTATACAGAGAGAAAACCAAGTTGGTCTCCACCAAGCCAAGTGACAAATTAGGGAAATGTTAATTCTACCCAGGCTGGTAAGTTGGCATATTTGAGCATACCTTCAGTCCAACAGCAGCCAAGCTTTCTGTCACGAGATTTGAAATTTGATCCTCTGACATGCTCGAGTTTTCATATCTACAAAATTGACAATATTCAACTCTACCTCTTTTCTTCATAGAATGTAATGCAAAAATATAAAAAAATAAAATAAAAAAACCAAACAATATAAATATCAATAGATGACTAAAGTATAAAAACGATTTCTTACAGACGGAAACTAACATTTTCACGAACAGTGAGAGAATCAAATAGAGCTGCACTCTGAAATACCTGTTAAAGCCTCACTGAGGTTTCGTTTCTTCTAAGGAAATCGCGACCTGACCTTGCCGGAAATAGAGGTGCCGGTGAAGCTACAACCAGATCTAAGGAAATCAAAATCCGAGGACGAGATTGAAACGAAAACGAACGAGCCAAACAGAGTGGAGGAAGGCCGAAAAGGAAGTGAGAAGGCGAGAATCGATTGGCGGAAACACGGCTCGGGTCGCGACGGCGACGGGAGCTCGGGTGGTCGCGACGGCGATCGGAGCTTGGGTGGTCGCGACGGCGATGGGAGCCCTAGGGTTTTTCTCTCTCGATTGAGCCTCGGGGACAATACGGACAAAATGAAAAAAATGGGCTGAATGGAAATGTGATTCCACCACCCACCCGAGTGAATGCCCATTCACTCAAATTGAGTGAATGGGCTTTCCGTTAGAAAGCCCATTCCAACTACAAAATTGAAACCAAACAAAAGAATTGGGGGTAATGGTCTTTCCATTCCATTCTCCCCGACCAAACAACTTAGCGCTTGAAGCCAACTCTCACTTTTTTTTCCAAAAAAAAAGAGAAAAAAAAAAAGAAAAGAAAAACAAAACAAACTCTAACCAAAAGAGCACCTAATCACATTGTCTGCCAATTTTCTTATGCTCTTTCTATTAATTTTTTTTTTCTTTCAAAAATCTACTTTCGAGATTAACGGGGTAATAAAAAAATAATAATAAAAAAAGAGAACTAAAACCCTCGATTTAAAAGTTTTAGACCATAATTTAGGGAAGAACCAGTTACTAATCCTTCAAAGAACAAAAGTTGCTGTCATGAGCAAGAAAACCGAAAAATTTTGAGGAAGGGACTAGGCTCCAAGCCTCCAAAGCAATTATTTGAACGAGAGATAGAATAATCTTGCTTGGCATAAGAACAGGCATTTAAGGTAACATCAATACTTATACAAATGCTTTGCTTTCAATCTGATGGCACACATCTTAGTTCTTTTGTTAAGAATAAAGTACAAGATTAAGAATAACATATTTCAGATTGCAAGACAAATAACGTACATCTAACAAGGGAAACCAAATAGAACCTCTACGTGTATCTACCAATTTTGGACCTATTTAAACAAGAGCCATCTTCATGGACCTAGTCATCATAGTCATGAACTCGTCCATGTCAACCAAGCCGTCCCCATCAGTGTCTACTGCTCTCACCATTCGTCGGCAATCGTCAAGGCTGCATTGCTCGCCCAACCTCTTTAGCACCTCCATAACCTCCACTGGGCTTATTTTCCCATCATTGTTGAGATCATACATCCGAAAGGCACTCTGTATGTCCATAGTCTTAATGCCACCGCCTTTCTTGTGTGCATCCATGAACTCCTTGAAACTAATAAAGCCATCCCCATCAAGATCAACTATCTGAAAAATCTTTGCGACTTCTCCAGGTATGGTTTCCTTGCCCAGTGACCTCAAAATGGCCTTATAGTCTTGCTGAGATATCTTTCCATCTTTGTTGGTGTCGAATTTATCAAATACTAGCTTCATCTCATCCTGATTTGGCATGAAAGAAGGCTTCAATCCAGAGCTCTGCCTGTCCCGAGAAAACAGTCGACTTGGTTTCTGCAACAGCTTCCTTTTTATGATGTTATACTGGAAGTCAAGGAAACTTCTATTCGACATATTTTCAGAGGTATTCTTGGCTGGCAGATATCGAAACTGCTAAATCAAACTGAGATATTAAGAGTAAACAACCTTCAATTCGAGATGGAAGAGATAGAGGAGTCACCAGACTTTATATGCTGAACATGATGCAAGAAAATTGAAAGGTTTTTCTAACGTCCTAGTCAATGGGATAAAGCAATCTAAAATACATTGATAACTCAACAGCTTGAGGCAACTAGAAGGTAACAGATTCTTTGGCGATGGTGAACAAGATAAGCAAGAATTATAAAGGTTGGAAAGTAAAAAGGTAGAAGATAAGAATAAATTCTTTGCAAAAGCTAAAATCTTATATTATTTTATTTTTTTCCCCTCTTTTTAACTTTTTTCCTACAAGTTTCCTGCCTTATCCTCATAACTCTCTTAAGGAGGTAGATTGTCGAGGGCCATGCAATGACGGCCAATTTTAAAGAAGAAAAAGGAAAAGAGAAAGGTCTACAGCTCACCGAAACAATTGCAAAAATAAATACCGAGTTGAATAAAATAAAACAAAAACAAAATCTCCATTCGTTTTAGGTCATGATCGATCCAAATCCTCCATCACTTCTATGTCTTTGCGAGCTGTTATCTTCTGAACATATCCTGCAAGCATCAACCAATGAGTAGATTATGAAAATACCACATGATGTGATAAAGGAAGTATTCCCCCGCGCTTCTTGGTGGCTATTTTGCGTGGGAATATCACTTTTCACACAGAAAGCAAATTCAAGGAATCTACAAGGCCTAACTCATACAAACTATATTCAACTTCCACGCACTTTTAACCATCCCCCAATAGACTTTTCCTTGATTTTTTTTTTTTAAAAAAAAAAAAACACGAATCTGTCCTTTTGATAAAGCGATATACCAGAAGCATATCTCCGTGAAAAGTAGTAACCAACGAACTCGCATTAACAATTTTGTTATCATTTTTCAGGAAGATTAATCTACTACCACGAGGGAAAATTATTAATTCAGTTCTATTAAGTATGCTCATTGCTAATATAGAGACTTTGTTGCTGGAAGTACACCATTATCAACTTTAAATTTAGCCAGAAATGGACTTCGCAAGGTGATTATGCGCTTAGCTTCATCCTGGGGAAAATTATTTTTCGTGGTTCTGTAATTTTCGCCATTAACTGAGCTCAGGGGAGACTACATAAAATGTAGACACAGTTATTTCGGTAAATATCAAGGTGGAAGAGTGAGAAAAATACCAATTCCAAGACAAGGAATGCATTTGCAAGTGATCTCTTCCCTCATTTGTTATAGTCTTTCCCTCTTTTGTTATAGTAACTGACATATCCTGAACCTTGGCAGCTTCTACATTTTCCCGTCCACTCATAAACTACTTCCTTGCAATCCTACAATTTTAAAAATGAGTCAGATTCCAAAACTGATTCTTTGCATATCTCTGTTGTTTTTCCCCTCCTGTTCCTTGAGCTAGAAGTGTTTGATTTTGTTCTATCAATATGTCACTTTATCATAAATTTGTCACAATTTTTCACAGCTTACTATAGAATTTCACCTTTTCTATTTTCCCTTCCCAAAATAAATAATAATAACGTGTCAAGTAATTTGCGTTACTATATGCCTTAACCGTTTTGGCAGTAGAGATGAAACTCCAGTAACAAGTCTTTGAACAAAATCATTTGACCCAGATGAAAACCATACGCTAATCTAAATACCATGACTAGAATTGGTTTTAAAGAAATGCGTTCATCACTCTCTGGATCCTACTGCTAATTCCTGTTCCGACAACATTGGGGAATTTTAGGGAGAAAGGAAAGCACAACATTTTTGGAAGCATCTCCCAACCATCTCACCAGAAAGTAAACAAAAACAAAAAATACGACTTTTTCAACAATGCAAAGAAAAATCGCACCTCAACTTGGGGATCGCATCGGAGGCGGCGGTCAATCTCCTCCGGGGAGACGGGAGAAGAATCGGGATAGGTCATAGGGAGGGGCAGAGGATCCTCATCGTCGGTCAAATAACTCTCTCCACTTCGCGACCACTTCTTCTCCTTGGCATTCACCTTCGTCCCGCCGTCATTAGCGCCTCGCCTAGCCGCGCCGTCGGCGGCGGCACCTCCGTCCGAAGAGTCAATGCCAATCCGAGCGCCGACGCCGCCGGAGACACCGGCAATTGACAGATACTGGAACAATTTCGGGAATGCCGGGCCCGCCGCAAGGTCGCCGGCTCCAGCGGCGGCGGCGCGGCACCGGAGGCGTGGAGGGCGGAGTAGTGGGGGATTGGGCTTGAAGGAGAAGAAGAGGGAGCTAGGGCTTGAAGCGAACATTCAGCGAAAAAGCGTGATGTAAAAAGACTTTATATTGAAGATTGGTCTGAATTTGAAAGAAGGAGAAAACGGAAGAGACGCAGTGGATATTTATCGAGATTGTGGCCGGTGAGCTCGACGGTCTTTTATATGTTTTGTGAAGACAATGGTCAGAAAAGTGAAGCGATTATATTGGATTTTAAGTTTTTTTTTTTTTTTTTTTTTTTTTTTTAAAATTTTGATTTCATGGTTTGGTTTGTTTGTCTTTTTGGTCGGCAGTTGAAAATTGGGACGATCTTTTAGTGGCATATTTAAGACAAGGCCCACTTTTTAGTTACTCCTTTTAGATTATTTATTTTTTTTGAATTTAGATTTCTCCAAAAACAAATAAATTATGAATAATTAGTATGATTTTGACCTGATTCAATTATCAAAAATTAATACTATCCATAAGATTGATTTACTATAGAAACTCTCTAAACGTCAATTATTGATAAATTACTCTTTGCAACTTATCTTGAGCCTTGAAAATACATTTTCATGAGGTTTTTTTTTTTTTTTTTTGGTTTCTTTAAACGTTACACCTGATTCATTATTTGTTACAAGATCATCTATTGTTATCAATATTAAGTTTGTCAATACTAAGGTCAAAGTCAACTATTAATGGTGAAAAGTACAAAACTTATATGAATTTGAAATTTCAAAGTATAATTTTGAGAACATCTAAAATGTAGTTTTTATTTTTTATTTTTTTTCCTTTAATCAATTCGAAATGCAAGGTATACAATAGAAAATAACACTTAAAAGAATGGGTGGGAGAGGTTACAACTGATTGTGTTTGTTGTAATATGTTAAATTTAGTAAAACTCATAAAAATGTATGTAAAATTGACGGAATCGAATAAGAGATTGACAATTTGTAAATATTGTTCGTGCTATGTTAAAGAACTTTTTAAAGAAAGATATTGCTAATAATAAGATAACTTGAAAGATTCTTTTTTGGTAGAAAGATAACTTGTAAGATCTTTTTTTGGTAGAAAGATAACTTGTAAGATTTGTTCGTAATTTAATTAATTATTTTCATTGCATCCTTGATAGATTTTGACTCGGACTATTAGACCTTGAAATTAAAGATGAAGGACAAATTGGTCTCGTGCCATGTGGCTCTTAGAACAACAAAAACACAAGTAAATCATGAAAAATGAGTTTCTTTTTTTTCTGTACTGGCTGATCATAGATTCATGAGAAATTGTTTTCTTAACAATAGCAGTTGTGGTCATGCTTGCTGGACCAATTTGTCCATTGAAAAGTGACGCAATTATGCACTTTTGAAATTTGAGACCAATGGTATTAACACTCTGTTACAATTACTTTTTTTTTCCAGCAAAAAGAAAAATGCACATTTTCTATTGATTTTTTTTTTTCAGTAAAAGTGTGGGATAGGGATTAAACGCGTCATTAACGCCATCAAAAATACATTTAGCACATGAGAGAAACTTCTTCAGAGAATTTCGTATGATGCATTCTGTTTCATAACTTTCTCATTAGCAAACAGCAATATGTCAGCAATATATACTTCATCCATTGCTCTTAATTTTTTTTCCTTTTTTTTTTTGGTTTACAAATGTGGTTCCTTTACCGCCAATAGATACAACTCGGAGAAACTAGGCTAGACACACATATAAATAGATCTTCCCTAAACCACACCCTTTATCAAGGCCAAATCTCTTATATTTCTCCTTAATCATCCCTCCAAATTATCCAATAGTCCTGTCAGAAAATTTAAGAACACATCCATTGCTCTTCTCTCAACCTCAGTCGGCTTTATCCGGTGTCATATCCTAAAGCAAAAAAGCCGAATTATCAGTTGAGGTGCAACTTTTGAGTCCCAAAAAGAGCTTTTCTTTAGAAGTTCACAAAATGAAGTTGAATTAACATTGTTTGAGAGTAGACCAGATAATGAGATAGAAAGTTCTTACTGAATGCTTCTTCCGTTTTGCGCCTGTAGCGTTGCGGGAATTTGGCCGCCGAGATTGTTGTTCTGAAGGAATCTGCTAAGCAAACCAGGGCACCAAATTAGTTATCTGATGTCCTGAAAGATTTTAGAGACATTGTTGATTTAGACTCACATCTCATAAAGTCTTGGAAGTTGGCCTAATGATTTAGGAATTGGTCCTTCAAGTTGGTTGTTCTCCAAATGCCTTCACAAGGACAACAAAGTAGAATGTTTAAGTGTCTGAGAATAAAAAAAAAAAATAAAAAAAAAAAAAAAAAAAAAAAAAAAAAAAGACCAAGCTTCATTGTACACATACAAAGTCTTCAACTCCTTTAAAGACCACATTTCCGGAATGGAACCTGTGAGCTTGTTCCCTCCAAGCCAACTGTAGGCATATATAGTTTCCACACAAACACAACATTAGTGAATCATTATAAAAACATGGAACGACCATTTGGTCGTATTGTATGAGAAAATTATCAGGTATTAGATGATGGAAAAACCCATTTTAGGCCATTGAATTTTGAGCTTTTTTTGTCTGGTGGGACCCAATAACAAAAAAAATTCAACGGTTCACGTCTTTTTGACCATCATCTAACACCTGAAAAAGCGTTACATAATACGATCAAATTAGACCGACAAAGATTAGATAACATACACAACAGTGGAGGGAATTACATATTACTTACATATGGTTAAGCGCAGTTAAATTTGATATGGTTGAAGGCAAGGACCCGGAGAGTCCCTTGCCGGTTAAATTCCTTCACAATACAGCAAAACATGTTGACCCCAGATCAAAATTGCATATGACACAAAAGAAAGAACCATATTCAGTTAATTGTGCTTCAAAAGAAATCAGTGTCAAAGGAATTGGTAATCTTAGAAAATTCTAAATGAACTTACAGAGCAACGACTCGAGAAAATTTCCCACGCGAGCATGTAACTCCAGTCCACGAATTCTTTTCAGGTAAGCATGGATCGCCACTCCAATCCGAAGGTGGTTTGTTGAAGTTTCTCGCCAAGTCCATCATCGCCACCGCTAGCGAACACCAAGAACAGAATAGTTAAAAAAAGTCGACGAAATGACACCACATTCCATTGCAACAAAGAATAGTGTTCAGATTCTTTACCATCTCTAGTTAAAGTCCTTCCACCAAGAGGCAGAATCTGCAGCACCTCACCAGCATTGATCACAGGCCCAACAGGCATTCCCTCGGCAGGAGTCAGGGCAATTTCTGTCTGCCCGAATAGAGGCCACAGCGAGGAATAAACAGTAATGCCATTGGTTGTGACATTGAGATTTGCATAGAAATTATTTCCATTCACTGACACATTGAACACTCTCCAGCTATAAGGGCTTGGCGTTCTGTTGTCCTGAAAGTAGAGCGCAATGTAGTAGTCGGCGCTAGGAAGCGACATTAGGGGCCATTGGATTTGGAGTGTCTTGCCGCGGCTGGTTGTGATTCCATTGTTGAACGCTTTTGCAGGCGGGTCATTCCAAAAATTTGAAGGGTTTACGTCCGAGTGGCTTGTCACTATGGGGTTCAGGTCCTTGTACGGTTGCCATATCCGGTTGAATTTGTCATCTGGAAAGCTAAGAGTTCATGTTTACATATTACAAAATCAGAATAACTCTCATAATTTTTAACTGAGATTGACATGAAAATAAATGGAAGGACTGACAAATCTGGATTTTCGCCTGTTGGTTTGTGAATCTAGTCTCTCTTTGTTCCAAAATACTAAAGCCTATTCTTGTAATTCAAAAACTACACAAACCTAATCCTTTTTTTTTCTTTTCCTGGAACCTATTTTTTTGATCCAAAAAGGTTACACAAAATCTAGCCTCTGTTCCAAATATTCCGTAACCAAGGCAGTTCTATGTACAAAACAATCAATCATAGGACAAAAAGGTACGGTTTTGGTGTCACTGTCTCTGTCACCGTGTTAGTTCTCTATTCAATTGTTAATATGAGACAAACCAACATTACAATCACAAGTGATAAATTAGATAGTATATTTGAACTTTGTTACCTATGAAATTGTTAAAGCTGTCACCGTGTTAGTTACCTATCTCATAATGTTGTACTTACAAAAAATAATATGAAATTTAGTTAAACTTGATAAAAATACGACGGTTCATACCATGCCTGATGCCTATCCTCTTTTTTTTGTCTGTTTCTAATACGCCTATATACACACACACACAAAGCAATAGTAAAACAAATGAAACAGATTTGCGTACCCAATATATTCATTGTCACTGCCAAAGGTACTCCTCGCCACCGTACTAAGCGCAAACTTGCTAAAATCCGTCGAGTTATACAACGAGTATTCCAAGTACTCCACCTCCAGGGCCGATATAAACGGGCTGGATTTCGTGTTCTCGTTTCTAGCCAGGCAAACACTGAGCGACTTCTCGGCAGCGACGACAACGATCTCATAATACGAGCTGAGCCCGTTGGCGTAGTCCTGGGAGGTGTCGACGACCCCCCACTTCGTGCCGTCCACAATCTGGTCGAACACCGGCGGCTCCATCCCTCCATCAAAGCCGCCGTAGAAGTAAGTCGTCCTGATAAGGTATTTGCCGCCTCTAATTGCAGGAACCGAATAACAATACTTACGCGCGGAGGCGTCGGGGAAATAGCGCAACGTGGATAGAATTGGTACGAGGTCCTGGTTGGTGAGGGTTGTGATGTTTCCCACAGAAATGAAGCCCTCGTCGGTTACGTACTTGAGGTCTATCCCGGACGTGGTTTCGATTTGTGGTGAAGACTCGCCAGCCCCACAATCTAACAGATAGCCTGTTGCGTTGAGATGATCATGTTAGATATATGAAAATGCGTGATTTAACGCTGATACTAAGCATCACAACTAATAAAATTATTGAGTGTGGTGCTCAGTGCTATCGATATTCTCTGACATTACTCTTATTTATAAATATGAATATGAGAAAAGAACCATGCATATATATAAATATATATTGTGTGTGTTAATAATAATGTTAGGATGTGTTTTATGTATTTAGGCAGACCTGTGGGTGTGGGGTCGGATTGGGAGTGGGAAAGGAAAGGGATGGAGACGAGCCATAGGAGGAAGATGGAGAGAGACATGTTTGAGGGGGAAGGGCAACCCAGAAAAGAATTGAAACTCGGAAGTTTGGTTTTGGAAGAGAGAGAAAGAAGAGAGAGAGAGAGAGAGAGAGATGAATTAGGCATGGCTGGCTGGAGGTGGTTTGAGTGGGGCGACACGTGGAAGGGCTGTGCTTGAACATAGAAATGCAAATTGAGAAGAACCCCATCATCCCATGAGGACATGCTTGACCTGGTCATACCATATATACATGGTCATTTACACCGATGGCATTTCAACGTTTATCTTTAGACTAGAGGTTAAGCTATCCTCAATTTCATAATATATAACCTAACAACATATAATAAGTTTCAAAAAGTATTGTTCAATGAACACAACTTCGATGAAATGTGCGTTTTGGTTGAAACGTACGTTTTCACTCCTTTTTCAATGAACAATAATTCAATCAAAATATGCGTTTTGGTTGAAACGCAGGTTTTGTTTGTTTTTTATGAATTTTTTCCTTTTCAACTTCTCTCTTTTTCTAACTTTTATTTTATTTTTTTTAGAATTTTATATTTTTCGTTCTTATCTTCTTTTTAACTTTTTTTTTTTCACTTACTTAAGTTATTATTTTTTTTACATATGCTATCCTATTTAGGTTTTTTTTTTTTTTTTCTGATAGTATCTTAAAATTTACTTATTTTTTTCATTTTAATCTTTTTTAACCCTTTTTTTCTATTTTTGTCCTAAAATTTTATTTTATTTTCATTTTAGTTACTTTTGCTTAAAATTATTTATTTTTAAAAATTTGGTCCTTTTTTATTCTTGCACTCAAAATTTATTTATTTTTTGTTTTGATAGTCCTTTATTACCCTTTGTTTATTTTAATTTTGGTTCATTTTACTCTAAAACTTATTTATTTCTTCGTTTTAGTCTTTTTTTGAACCCTTTTTCATATTTTTGACCTAAAACTTTATATTTTTTTTTATCGTTTTAGTCTATTTTATCTTAAAACTTATTTATTTATTCATTTTAGTCCTTTTCTTTATATCTTTCCTGAATTTTTTCACCGTAATTGTTTTTTTTTTTTTGCCTTAAAACTCATTTATTTCTTCATTTTGGTCCTTTTGACCCATTCTTATTTTTTTGCCCTAAAAGTTTATTTTTTTTTCATTTTAGTCCCTCTTGCCCTAAAACTTATTTATTTCTTCATTTTAGTCATTTTTTGATCTTTTTTTGATTTCTTGCTCTAAAACTTTTTTTTTTTCATTTTGGTTTCTTTGTGGAATTTTATATTCATATGTTATATGCTTTTAATAATAACACGATAATTAAAACTTAACACATATATTATTATCCACACACATAACACGTCGAGTTCAAGTTCAACTAGTATATAATTGATCCGTTTAGTTCATAAGTTTGAACTGAAAAGTTTAAACATACATTTAAATTTTGTGAGATAAAATATTTTAACAAAAATATTTAAATAGTAATTCGAACTTATAAAAAAACATGACTAATATACAGTCGATTCATTAATTAATAAATTGCTTATTTTCAGATAAAATAATTGTATGTGAGGATTTTGAAAGAGATAAAATAATAAAAAAGTAAAGAAAAAACTTAAAAAGGAAAACTAGATTGTGTCGCGAGTTTTCTTCTTTTTTTTTTATTACCTTATCTTGCTAGTTCTAATTTTTCTTTTTAGCATTTTATCTCTTTTTAAAAATCCTCACATGTTATGCTCGCACTACATTTTATCCAAAGAGAGAGAAAAAAAAAGTACATTCATTGAGAGACAAAACTGCATATTTCATGAAATCTAATATTGCAATATTGCTAGACTTTCAATAGTAAGTGATGGGATCAAAATGAGATTAGTGTATATTATTAAGAATTTTTTTATATAAATAACCCTACTAATATAAACCTTTTGCAATGATAGACAACTTTTTTTTAACCCACCTAATTAAATTTAGGAGGATTAATTTTAAATTTAACCAACCCAATTAACCCGTCTCCTTAAAATCGGATTGGATTAATTGAGTAGGCGGGTTGAACATTATTTAAAAAAATAAAACTAACAATACAAAAAAAAAAGAAAATAAGAAAAAAGTCTAAAATTCATCAAATATTGATCGAGCCAAGTTTCAATAAAAAGCTATACGAAACAAGTTCAATTACACAAATCTTTAAAAAAGAAGGAAAAAAAAAGAAAACTATAAAAGCTAATGGAAAATTACATGGTTGCCCTCTGAATAATAGACTATGTCACAAAATGCCATCCAAACTTCAATTTGTAATTGAAAGTGCAATAAAAATTATAGAATTGATAGTACAATTACAAAATTGTCCATATAATTACTTCAAAACAAACTCTTTCACACTCTCTGGCTCTGTAAAAACTGCCAATTCTCTCTCCATTCCGGCAAACCTCTCTAGATCTAAACTATTGGACATTTATCTTGTTCTTTTCGCTGATTTGAGTTTAGAATTCGAGTTTTACTACAGTAAAAAGCTCTCAAAAACAGTCACATCTAACTTTTTTACTACAGTAAAAAGCTCTCACACAACATCACATCTCAACTCGAATTAGCGAACCGAACGGGCCCATATTAGTAAGCAACATTTTACTAGAAATAGGGAAATAACATAATTAAGAGATAATTAAAAATTAAAAAAATTCTCTAGTATTCTTGACGTATCAGTAGGTTAAGTTTTTTTAACTGTTAAATTTACATACTTTTTAACTTTTACGTGATTTTAGCATAATCTTTAAAAGTAGATAGAAAATATGGCACGACTATAGTACGGGATCGTACGGATCCGTACTGATCCCGAAATTTTTTTTGTAGACCGTTGGATTGATAATGAAAGGTCTCATATCATGGTTTCATGGAAACAAACCGTTCATTTCACCGATTCGAGTTTTGCTATAGTAAAAAGCTCTCATAAATAGTCACATTTAATTTTTTTGTTACAATAAAAAACTCTCACATAAAGTCACATCTCAACTCGAATTAAAAACTCGAATCAACGAACTAAATGGACCGAAAAAAAAGCTTAACTACATTCTAACTTTTTTAATAAAATCAACACTCACAAGTAAAATACAAAAAAGGCCCTGGACATTGATAGAAAATGTTGCTGCCAGCCACCTCCGCCCCCTTGCCGTCGGGCACCTCTGTGTACTCGCCGCCGGCGCGTCTAACGACACCGCCATCACCAAATGACTCTTTGGCCGCCGATATACGGAATCCAATGGTCTATTGTCGAATCCTAGCCGAAATCGCTACCGGCGCCGCCTAGAAGCCGTGACCAAGCCAACTTTGTACCTCCGTATCCACCGCGAGATGTCTGTCACCACCATCGAGCATCGACACAGACCTCGTCGCACATCAAAACCCAGTGGGTCCCACCGTCGAACCTCACCAGGAAATATCGTCATAAGCCACACCCAAAATCGGTGAATTGTGACCCCCCTCTCTCTCGACCTCCCGTCGTCAGCCGCGAGTCGTACGATAAGGTCACGACCATGGTGGGATCCTACCCAACCCGCCATCTCATTGCTGGCGACCCACTCCCATCACGCTGTCTGCGACAGTTTCTCATATCCAAGTCTTTTCTTTAAAAAAAAAAAAAAGTTTGATGAATCTGATGTGTTAACCTCACATTAGTAATGGTGAGTTTCTGTATCATTGCACCGTATCTTAGTCAAAGGGTCCAAAAAATAGGAAGTATAATGAGACGTTTGATAAGATGAGTCGTATTCTAATTTAAATTATGATTCATAGTTTGTTATAGTATTTTTTCTCATAAAAAATACAAGTAAATCAAAAATATTTCTAATCTCATGATTCTAATCCATAAATCAAACGTCTCTTAAATAAAAGAAAGTATTAAATGACCGTTCGCTATTTAAATTTAAATATAATTTTATATAAAATTTTTTTATTATAATAAAAAAAATTAAATATAATTATTTTTGATAAAATTTTACTCTAGTGAAATAAGTAAAATAAACAACGTCATAATGTTTTCCTAAAAAATATCATAATGTTAATAAATTTAAATTTATGATGCTACAAAAATACCAAATTTACCCCCTCTTATCTGTCTTTTGTCTTCTCTCTACCCCTCTCTCTCTCCGTTTCGTCCCTCTCGACCTCCCCTAGCTCTCTTTCTCCGTCGCAAGGTCAAACATGGCGACCAAACCGGAGCTTGGTGGGCCGGTAAGACAGATTTCGCCGGCGCTTAAAGCTGTTGCCGGAGATGATGGAGGAGAGGATCACAAATATAAGATTCCCTTCAACTGATTTGGAGATCGCATCGTCGGCACCGGAGGAGCTCGTCGGATAAGATCGTGCGAGGATCAATGTGCTTATCGCGGGAGCTTACTGATTGATCGCCAGATCTGGGCAATGGAGATCGCGTTGGTGCCGAAGGAGCTCACCCTTGCTGCCATGGCGACAGCTTGGTGGATTGGCCTTGATGGACAGTTGCAGGGCATTTTGGGGATTCTAAATTTTTAAATGTGTTTTGTGCTATTAATTTCTATTCACAATAAATTATGCCATTAATTTATCTCCTATTCCAAACTCTCTCTTACCCTAACCACTAGCGGCCCTCTTCTCCTCTGTTGCGTATCCAAGCTTCATCAAAGCCTCTCTCAGCAGCCCTTGCCGCCTCAACGGCTTCCTCATGAACTCTACTTGCCTCATTCTCCTTCCTCTTGATCTCCATCTTTAGCATCTCATTTTACTCTGCAACTGCGCCTCCTTGTCCAACAAACTGATCTTCAGCTCGGCCAAAACAGCCTCCGAATTCTTCAATTCCGCCGTCAGTTCAGATTCCTCGCATAGCCCCGACAGATTCGTCTCGATTTTCAAGCTCGATCCTTCGTTATCCGCCTGGAGTCACGATACCCTCCAAAGCCCAGACATTTTTTACTCGCTTGAGCAGGTATGGGTAATCAACATTTTACTAGACTTGTTCTATTTTTTTTTTTTTTTTTTTTTTTTTTTTTTTTTTTTTTTTTTGAGAAAAGAGTTTTGATGAGTGATGACTATTTATTTCTGATTATAGTGATTAGTGTTTTTTTTTTTTCCTTCATGTGTGTTTTGTTTGCTGTTGATTTATTGCTAAGCCTTGTAAGAGATTTTTTTTTTTTTCTGTCCCCTGTTTTATCCGCCTGGCGTTTACTCACGAGAACCTCCAAATGATGTAGTTTTGTTCTTATTGATTTGCCACTTGTTTATGCTTTTAATGGGAATAAGTAAAAAAGACACCATTTAGTTGCTTTTAATGGGAATAAGTAAAAAAGCAATTTATATTCTTTTCTACCTCTTGTCCTGATGTTATCATATTAGATATTGTTGGGTTCCGCCCCTTTTGTGGGCTGGACTGGAACAAATAGTGGATTTTAAGTCTAAATGCCAACAACAACAAAAATGAATGAAAGATATGCTGCTCACATGGGCAGCAAACCAGAAAAAATAGAAAAGAAAAGAAGAAGGAGAATCGGGAGAGTTGTGGGTAGCCGTGAACACCAGAGAAAGAGAAGGAAAGAAAATGAGAGAGAGAAAGAGAAAAGGGGTAGGGTTTTAGTGCTTGTGCAAGACGATTGGGTGGCGAAACGTTGTCGGTTTCGGCTCAAATTTCAACACCCCCTCCGCATCATTTGGTGGGCTCAACTAAGCCTGCTCTCTGCCTACAAGCTTCAAGTTTCTCCTTAGGCAAAGTCTTCGTCAACATATCTGATCCATTCTCACTGGTGTGGATCTTCTCTAAGTGTAACTGCTTCCCTTCAAGTACATCACGAATCCAGTGATATCTGACATCAATATGCTTAGATCTCGAATGAAATGTTGAATTCTTGGAGAGATGGCACTCTGACTGTCGCTGTAGACAATACACTTCTCTTGTTGGATGCCCAGTTCTTCAAGAAACTTCCTCATCCACAAAGCTTCCTTGCAACATTCAGTAATTGCTATGTACTCAGCTTCTATGGTGGATAGAGCGGCACACTTTTGTAGCTTGGACTGTCAAGAGACTGCTCCCCCTACAAAAGTCATCAGGAATTCCGAAATAGACTTCCTGGAATCAATGTCACCTGCCATGTCTGAATCTGTGTACCAATCTAAAATAGGCTCAACACTGTCAAAGCATAAAAACACCCTAGAAGTATCTCTCAGATATCTCAATATCAATTTTACTGCTGTTCAGTGTTATTTTCCAGGATTAGAGAGAAATCGGCTAACAACTCCAACTGCATGAGCAGTATCTGGCCTTGCACAGACCATGACATACATCAAACTGCCAACTGCAGACGCATATGGCACTTTGCTCATTTCTTCTTTTTCTTTCTCACTTGTAGGACATTGCTTAACTGTAAACTTGAAGTGACCTGCAAGTGGAGAACAAACAGCCTTGGCCTTACTCATATTAATGTAGTTTTTTTAAGATAACCATAACTTCTTATTCTTCCTATCACGGGAGATCTTCATACCAAGTATCTGTTTGTTTATGCCTATACAAGAGTCAAACTTCTTATCATGAAAGAGTCAAACTTTTTGTACCACTGTCTTGGTGCTTGTTTATGCCTATACAAGTTCTTTCTCAGCTTGCACACAAGATGCTCTTTTCCTTTAACTTTGAATCCTTATGGTTGCTACATAAAAAATTACTTCTTCTAAGTCACTGTGAAGGAACACAGTTTTCACATCAAGTTGCTCTACCTCTAAATTCAAGCGGGCAACTAGACCAAGAACAACTCTGATAGATGACATCTTCACAACATGAGAAAATATTTCTTCAAAGTCGACACCTTTCTTCTGACCGAACTCCTTCACAACCAACCTCGCCTTGTACCTTACTTGTGAGCTATTGTTCCCAGTTTTCAACCTGTAAACCCACTTGTTCTTGAGCGTTTTCTTGCCTTTAGGTAACTTTACTAAGCCATAGGTGTGGTTCTCACACAAGGATTTCATCTCTTCTTGCATGGCTTTAAACCACTTTTGTTTCTTCTCATATGAAACAGCTTCTTGGTAAGTTTCTGGCTCTCCCCCATTAGTGAGCATCACATACTCATTAATAGTGTATCGACTAGGTGGACGGTGCTCTCTTATAGATCTTCTAACCTGAGACTCAATTGGTGGTGTTGGCGGTGCTTGTTCAACTTGTTCAATTAGCTCTACATCATCAACTGGAGGGGCTTCATCATTAATAGCATCACCACAATCTTCTTGGACATCTCCCCCTTGATCAGTATTCTCTACAGGTGGAGAAATTGGATCCAAATTGACAGGAATTTCAGCAGAAGAACAAGACTTTTCACCCTTGTTACCATCATCAATCACTTGGTCTTCAAGGAAGACAACATCTCTACTTCTGACAATTTTCTTGTTAACCGGATCCCATAATCTGTACCCAAACTCCTCGTGGCCATAGCCTAAAAAAATACAAGGTTTCGCCTTATCATCAAGCTTTGATCTCTCATCTTTAAGAATATAAACGAATGCCTTGCAGCAAAAAACTCTCAAGTAATCATAAGAGACATCTTTCCTAGTCCAAACTCTATTTGGAACCTCACCATCCAAGGCAGCTGCTGGAGAAAGATTAATCAAATCAACTGCGGTTCTCATGGCCTCCCCTAAAAAGGACTTAGGAAGCTTTGCGTGAGAAAGCATGCACCTGATTCTTTCTTCAATTGTTCTGTTCATTCTCTCCGCTACACCATTAAACTGAGGTTGTCTTAGCTGGAGTCTTCTCAAGCCTGATTCCATGGAGTTTGCAGTAATTCCCAAACGGTCCCCTGTACTCACCATCATTATCAACGCGAACTGATTTCAACTGTTTTCCTGTTTCTCTTTCAATCTTGGCATGAAATTCTTTAAAGACATCAAGCACCTGGTCTCTAGTTTTTAAAGCAGTAGCCCAAACCTTTCTTGAATGGTCATCGATGAAAGTCACAAAGTAGAATGCACCTCCAAGAGTTTTTGCTTGCATAGAACATGCATCAGTATGAATCAAATCAAGAATATTTGATCTTCTAGATGGAGGTTGTGAATGAAATGCAACTCTCTGTGTTTTTCCAGCTAAACAATTAACACAAGTTTTAAGAGGCATACCTTGCAAATTAGGCATGAATTGCTTTCTAGCAAGAAGTTGTAGTCCTTTCTCACTGACGTGGCCAAGCCGCTTGTGCCATAGATCCATGCTTGCACCATTCTGAACAACATTTATCTCTCATTTGTGAAGCTTAGCTTGCATGATATAGAGTGTATTCATTTTCTTTCCTCTTACAACCACTAGAGAACCTTTGGTGAGCTTCCACTTGCTTTCACCAAAATAACTAGTAAAACCCTCATCATCAAATCTGCCTGTGGAGATCAAGTTTAGGCGAATATCCGGAACATGCCTCACATCCTTGAGTACCAACTTGCTTCTAAGATTAGTTTCCAAGCAAATACCTCCAATGCCCACAATTTTAGAGGCACTATTGTTTCCCATTTTGACATTGCCAAAATCACCGGTAGAGTAAGAAGTGAAGAAATCACCATGAGGAGTAACAAGAAACGATGCGCCAGAATCAATCACCCAATCACTTTCCTGGTACACAAGATTAACACAACTGTCATCATAAATGATGGTAACATCACCTTCGGCGGCTACTGTATTAGTCTCTTTCTCATCTTTATTTCTTTAATCTTGTTCTCTTTTTCAAATTCTGCATTCTTTTTTCATGTGGCCCATCTTGTTTCAGTGATAACACTTGACATTTTTCCTGTGTTTAGATTTTTCCCTGAATATATCCTTTTCGCCATGACCCTGAGGATGCCTACTTTTACTTCTTCCACGCCTTTTTTGTTTTTCAGAAACAAGTACCTCAGAAGAATATTCACCCTTTTTCTCTCTTCTGGCTTCTTCACTCAACAAACTTTCTTTAACCATCTTCATGATTAGCTTTCGTCCAGGCACTGAAGTGCTTAGTGATACCACTAACGTTTCCCGACTGTCAAGCAAGGAGCTAAGAAGTAACAATGCCTGCAAGTCATCTTCAAGAGGCATTTTCATTGCGGCCAATTGGTTCACCAAGCCTTGAAAATCACTAGTATGCTCAGTCATACTTTTTCCATCTTTGTACTTCAAATTCACAAGTCTTCTAATGATCGAGACTTTATTTCTGGAGGTATTTTTCTCATATATAGCCTCTAATTTCTTCCAAAGTGCATCGGCTTCCATTTCTTCATAAATGTGATTAAAAACATTTATATCAACCTATTGCCTAATCGTAGCAGCAACTTTCATGTGTAATGTTTTCCAATTATCATCACTTGTCTTTTCTAACTTTGACTTGCCCATAACAGGCCCATAAGCAAATCTTTCATTTTACGCTTCCAAATGGAATAATTCGATGAGGTTAATTTTATCATCCCATACGAATTTTGTTATTCCATTTCAACACACAAGAATTAGCCTTTAGCCAACCAAAGGCTCTGATACCAATTTGTTAGGAAAACTAATATTAACAATTGCGAAATAAAACTTTCCCTCTTTGTGTGCTAAAATAGGATTTCAAACAAAATGCCAACAAAGCCAAACAACCAATGCACCAATTAATCAAAATAATCAACCACAAATGAAATACCGATTTTTAGCGTGGAAAACCTTTCAAATTGAGAGTAAAAACCACGGGACCCTTAGGCCACTTAAATTTCTTCCACTATATTAACAATGGAATTACAAAGTTTCTCTATAGAATCAAACTAAAGGCTCACAACAATAATATCATCAAGAAACACTATTCTTGGTTCACCAACAATATAGACATCATCATCAAAGATGGATAATAACAATAACACCAAAGAAAAGGTTAGGTCTCACCAAATTAGGAGTACTCAAGAGAGTACTAAAGAGAGGCTAAATGAGAAATCAAGTCCGGTAAATTGGAAGAGCTCGCC